TTCCATTTCTCTTGCTTCTATTACTTCCTCTTCTTCAGTTAAAGCCTTTAATCTGAACTGTGACCCGAGCGGTGTACTCACTGCTCTGCAATTATCCATCCCAAAAATCTTAAGAACCTTTGTTAAGTAATCATTCTGTGAAAGAGACAAAGATGATCTTGCTCTGTCTCTGAGAATATCCATCCCAAGAGTTCTTCTATCTGGTCCCAAATCTTTCATTTCGAATTCTGAATTTAGCTGATCCTTAACACTCTGAACTGTACTCATCTTCTTAGAAGCTGTTAACATATCGTCGACATAAAGCAGTAGATAAACCTTGTCCTCAACAGTTGATCCTTTAAAGTAAACGCAGGGATCATATTCACTTATGTTGAACTTTTGCTTGATCATGAACTTGTCAAACCTATGATTCCACTCCCTTGGTGACTGCTTTAAGCCGTAGAGAGACCTCTTTAGAAGACACACTTGATCTTCCTCTCCTTTCTGAACGTATCCTTCCGGCTGCTCCATGAAGATCCTCTCCTTCAGTACCTCATTAAGGAATGCTGTCTTTACGTCCATCTGCTCCAACTCCATTTCGAAATGAACCACTGCTGATAGTAGTAACCTTATCGATACATGCTTAACAACAGGTGAAAATACCTCGTTGTAATCAACTCCTTCTATCTGAGAAAAACCTTTTCCTACCAACCTTGCTTTGTATCTTGGTGGTTGATCGATCTCTGGAACGCCTGGCTTAAGTTTATACACCCATTTGCAGCCAATAACTTTTTGATTCTTGGGTCTCTCAACATAAGCCCATGTTCCATTTCTCTCCAGTGAATCCATCTCTTCATCTGAACCTTTATTCCAATGATATATCTTTACTTTGTTGAGCTTCTGAGTAACTCTTAGGTTCTTCAGGATAAATATCTCCTGCTGTTGATAGAGCGTATGCTAAATAGTCTGCATCCTCAAACTTAGACGGTGGCTTAATATTTCTTCGTTCCTTGTCCCTAGCCAACAGATACGTGCTCAAGTCAGGAGTTGGTTCGGACTCAAGTTCTTCCATTTTATCTTCCTCTAGCTCCTCCTCTGAAGCCTCTACTTCTTTCACATCCAAGTCTTCTGTAACAGCTCCACCTGAATTCAAAGTCTCGCCTTCAAATACATCTTCTAGGTTGCTCCTAAAAGTTACTTTCTTTGTAGACTTGATATGTTCTGTCTCAGGCTGCAAATCCACGCCCATCTCTCTATTCTTGTATAGTTGATCTTCATTGAATACCACATCTTTACTGATTATGAGCTTTTCTTCCTCCAAGAGCCATACTCGGTATCCTTTAGTTCCTTGAGCATATCCGAATAGAACACCCTTTGCAGCTCTTGGATTGATCTTCCCCTTTACTTGATGAACGTAAGCGATACATCCAAAGCTTCTTAGATGACTGTAGTCAGGATCACTCCCTGTCCATCTTGCCTCTGGAACCTCAAGTCCTATGGAAGAGTTTGGTGACCGGTTGATTAAGTAGTCAGTAGTTGACGCTGCTTCTGCCCAGAATTCTCCACCTAAACCAGTCTCGTGTAACATAGCCCTGACCTTGTCCATAATTGTACGGTTCATCCTCTCTGACACCCCATTCTGCTGAGGTGTATAGGGACATGTCTTATGTCGTTTTATTCCAGACTTCTTGCACAACTCATCGAACCTTTGATTGCAGAATTCTAATCCATTGCCTGTCCTCAAGCATTTGATTTTCTTTCATGCTTGATTTTCTACTAGCAACTTCCAATCTGCAAAACAAGTAAATGCTTCATCTTTAGTTTTGGGAAAATAAATCCAGACCTTCTTTGAATAATCATCAGTAAGAGTTAGAAAATAGTGAGCCCCTGATAAGCTCGACATCGTGTTTGGTGATCCCCATAGATCAGAGTGTATGTAGTCCAGGATTCCCTGTGTGGTGTGCTTGGCCTTTGGGAAGCTTTGCCTATGAGACTTTCCCATTGCACATGATTCACAGAACCTGAGATGTCCTATCTCTTCTCGTTTAATGTATCCCTTTCTTGCCAAGGTCTCCATAGACCTTATATTCATGTGAGCCAACCGAGTATGCCACCTCTTAGTGTGATCGTTCCGATTCCTTTCACAATGGTGATCGTTCCAATTCCTTTCACAATGCAATGAGAGTTGTTTCCCATCATCACTTTGTTTCCTTCAAACTCCACCAGATCTGATAATAGCTCTTTCCTTGGTGTTATATGAAATGTACATCCATAATCTAACACCCATTATTCCTCAGATACGAGTAAACTTGATGTTAACACCATGGTACCTGGTAGTTTAGCAGCAACATTTTCTGAGTTTGAATTTCTTGGTTGGAATGCACCCTTCTTCCTTTCAGGACAGTCCCATTTCCAGTGATCTTCAGCTCCACAGATCCAGCAGGTTTTATCTGCTCTTCCTGTGCTTTTACCTCGAGACTTAGATCTTCCTCTACCCTTGTTCTTGTTATTCCAAGGTTTTTTGTTGCCGTTTTCATTTCTCTGAGATGATCTTCCTCGAGACTCAACATACAAACCTTCTGATTGTTTTCCTTTTGTTAGTAAACCCTTTTGTTTTAACTCAGCTTCCTATGAATAAGCTGCAGTCATCACCTCTCCCACAGTCAAAGTGTCCCTCCCTGTTCCATACTGCAAAGTATGAACCAATGGTTCATATACTGTAGGTAAACCTGACAACAATTGAATGGCATGATCCTCATCTGAGACATCGATCTTGATGCTAGCTAAGTTAGCTACTAGCTTTAAGAACTGGTCAAAGTTCTCTTCCAACGCCTTATCATCCTCCATCTTGAAACACAAAAATTTCTCTTAAGGTAGATTCGATTTGGTAAAGACTTAGTCTGATAGTCTTTTTCCAAGGCTCTCCACATTCCTAATCCAGTCTGCTCATGCATTATCTTCCTTAGTATGATATCACTCAGACTTGTACTAAGAAGACTCCTGACACGAAGATCCTTGTCAGCCAGTTTTAGATCCTTCTTGACCTCAACTTCTTCTTCAAGCTTTTCCGAATCTAATGCTGAGCTTGCATCTTCGTTTAGGACTGTTGCAAGACCTTGAATCTCCAGCTGAGCAAGCATCTTGAACTTCCATAAGCCAAAATCTCTTTTTCCATCAAACTTCTCTATCTCAAACTTTCCTCGAGTTGGATCCATCTTGTTGGTGTCTCTGCGATTAGCATGTCACCTGAAATCAACAAGAAAAGCAACTCGCAGTGATCTATTTCCAAAACAACCTAAGTTCCTTGATAGATCTAAGACTAAATTGAGATAGAAACAACCTGATGATTCTTGTGATTGAATCTAGACGACGATACTCGAAAGTTATCTCGGATTGTCTTCTTGATCCACCTTCTTGCTTTGTGAGCAAAGCTCTGATACCAATTGTGGAAGTATCTAGCTAGTTATGACACTCAACGATCTCGTTCTCTATCTATTTTCTCACAGATTAATCGTCTCTCGTTTGTTTCAGGTTCGCGACTCCGTACGCATTCGAAAGATAAGCAAAAGAAAGAAGAAAAGAAACAGAGCACACACGAGACGTTTTAGAGTTTCTCGTCAATAGACTAGGTACATCTCCTTCAGGATCGGTGCATGGAATCCACTATCACTCTGGATTACAGAAGCTTGAGTAAGATCTACAATATCACCCGAGAACAACCTCTCTCTGTTACTCGTTTTTATTTATCGAGAAAGAAGAAGGTTGTTATGACCGTTATAAAGGATAAGGTCAAAAACGACGTAGCTTCACCTATCTTTCTGGGCTAATTAACTTGTGGCGAGCCCACCAAGCTTAATAGGCTTTTTACTCTCTTTGGGCTTCTGATCGAAGACCACTCTTCACATTAACAGTTATGAATCTTCCAAGAAAGCTCGTGGAAGAAGCCTAAAACTAAAAGCACCACAATACTCAGCTTCTCAAAGCTACAGACAACAATCTTGTTGTGAACAAACGCGAATTAACTGTGAAAAAGCAAGAGTATTTAGAGAAAACATGATTGAGGCAAATACTTATGTCAGAGTTTGTACATTAACTATGTTAATTAATAATTTTCAATTTTTTAATACTCCTATTTATTAAACCTCAAAATTTGATATTACTTTTCTCTTTGTACAAAATTCTAAAAGTTATTTTTCCTCTTCCTTTTTTTTTTGTCAAAAAAGTTATTTTTCCTAATACTAAAAGGTTAGGGTACTTTCTCACACATAGACCTGGATTACGAGTCAATTTTCCTTGTGCCTTTGAATGTTTCATTTTACTGGATCACTGAGACTTCAACAAAAGAATCAAGAAATTTCCATGAAACTCCATCTCAAGTATATCTGAATCTGTCGCATCAAACATAACATCATTGGCTAATTATTTTGGAGAACACTTGAGCCCTGAACTGGTTTAGAGACGAAACATAAACAATGTACGAGAAACAGAGATCTCTCAAATGTAAACCAACTATAAGTGGAAGATTTCCCATAGAAGAGTGTATGTCGGTTCTATTTCTAACACTTTTCTTCATGTCGTACTGTAGTTATATATATACCATTTGGAATTAGACCTAGAACAAGTTGTCCATTGATACTTTGTTTCCGACAACCTTCACTTTGGGATGTCTTTCTTGGCAAAGCATCTCGAATATGGATCTGTCAAATACCCGGCAATAAAAGATGCAATACACGAGTGTACAATCGCTCGCTCGAATAGAGTGAAAAGAGAAGTCAGTGTACAATAAGTTAAAAAAGATTCTCAAGAATTGAACAAGAAGCCAATTCCATGGTACGCTTTGATGTTTTCCTTCTGATTCACAACAAAACCATTTACTACTGATACTTTGTGTTGTGATTTGTTATCCTCTTCTCTCTTTGTGTTTCTTTACAATTCCACAGTAATGATCACAAGGAATTACACTGAACACAAATCTAAAAGAATCGTCAAGTATAACTACTAGTAAACATTGTAATAACTCGGGGGAAATGAAATGTCATTGTAATAACAAATATTTTGGAGAATCTTATCAAAAGAAAACTTATTTGAGCAATGTAAGAGTATAAAGAAGTGAACAAAAGTGATTGTGGACTTGACACAATCTTCCCTATGACAAGTTTCCCGAATGAGCTATATATATAAACCAAATGGAAGCAAATGAAAGTATGAAGTTGCCTAGCAGAATCAAACCGTTGGACAGAAAAATAAAAAGCAGAGGATAATGCCATAATCTTATTAGAAGGAACACCTTATTAGCTTCTCAACATCCTTTTAGGATGATGAGTCCTCATTCAAGCCGTTGGGATTGTGCAAAATGGCACAAATAGATATATAATCAAACATAAAATACAGCGAGCATGGTTCCAAGGACTGAACCTACCCCATGTAGGCATGGTTAGGCATCATCGAACTCGAAGTGCCAGAGGTCTTAGAAAGACCATAAAATGAAAGAGTAGCAGTTTTAATAATTCATTACCTCTCTTGTGAGTGTCTTCTGTGCTCTCTATCACCATGATGACTACTACTACCACCTCTGCTCGACTTGGGGCTTTCTTCACCGTTCTCGCTACTATGGCGTCTCTTTCCTTCTGACTGCTTCTCAGGAGGGCTTCCCATTTTTCTCTTTCTGCTATGCATCATCTGAGACACATCGTTTACCATTTCACCTTCTTCTGCATTTTTCATTCCCCCATGTTCTGTACCCATGAGATCAGAGTTCTCGGCCTTTCGCCTTTGCTTGTCCTTTTTATCCTCAACAGCTACTTCCACATCTTCCAACTCTCTTTCAATGAAATCATCTTCATCCACCAAATCCTTTTTCAACATTCTTTCACCTAGCAACTTCTTAGCCTTCTCTCGTTTAGCCTTCACCTTATCTCTGAGTAATTTCAAGTCTTTTGGAGATTGGCCGATTGGGACAACACCTGTTTCAACATTCCTAGATTTATGAACAGCGCCATCATCTGGAAGCTCTCCACTCTCTCTTTCTGAATTATCCTTCCCAGTTCCCTCAGCTAACGGTCTAGAGTTATGGGGGGCTTCTCTGACATTGTCCTCAGTAGCTGGATGGTTTTCCTGATGCGGGCTTTCTTTTCTTTCTCTCTTTACCTCCACTTTGTGATTGGCACTGGCATTAGCTGCCTCAGCATCCCCATTATCATTGTAACCGCCTTTTGATGAACGCCCATGATTATCAGAGTTTGAATGTTCATGGCTTGATCGTGCTGATGCTTGCCTAAAACCAACATGCTCATCGGTTGAGACAGCATTTCTAGACCCTGCGGGACGATGAGCTGACCCTCCACCTACACTACTTTCTACTTCGCTTCCTTGAGAAGCAGGGACACGGTTTTGCTCATAAAGCTCAAGCATTTGGTTGCTAACATCTGAAACATTAAAAAAAAAAAGTTATCAATTGCGAGTCAAAAAAGGAAACAAGAGTCGTCAAATCATGTACATACCCTCCAGTTGTCGAGGGGTAACATCAAACTCTTGCCACCAAACCTTCTCTCCATCTGATGGTAACTTGACTTTAAGGAACTTGGCCGCAAGAAAGATTGCACCAGCCGCAATGTGATGAGGCTGAAACTGCAGGCAGAGTGATGTCCGCAGACTGCAAGCCACTTTCCATTTGTATGAAGACGAAAATAGAATGCACATAGAATTATTGGAAGCTTTAGAAGGAAACAGAACTTCAAACGTACCCATCGTTGACAAAATTCCACGCAACTTGAGCGAGAGCATTCTGAGCAACCTTAAATTTCTTTATTGCTTCTACAAGGGGTTTATACGGATGAAGAACATTGAGGTCGAAACCTAGTGTAGAAAGTACTATCTTTTCTCCGTTTAATATAAGTTCTTTTTGTTCCTCATATACTTCCTGTAAAAGTGATATACATCAAATACACAATGTTTGCAGCTTATAGTACAAGCTCAACGTCAAATAAAACATAAACTATCTGGAAGACCAGATACTTTCAACGTAGGCAAGAGGTCTGAGAAGGGTCATTAGTATGATGAATACCTTTTGCTTGATTTTCTGGGCAGCACCAGGATCCTTCTTGTTTATTATCTCATAGGATACATATATAACGTTATTCAAGGGCCGTGGAGTTTCCTCGACTTTTCCAGCAAGGAACATACATACAGTTGCAATTGTCTGTGGAAAACAACATGAATAAAGGACTCAGTAAAGATCTAGGTATAAGAAGGATCCAAGACAAAGCAACATCTCAAATTCCTACCCTAGCCAGACTACAGCATAGTGATTCCAACAACACAGAGTAACTTTTAAGCATTCAACTTGTTCAGGTGCAAAACAACAAACTCACCCTTCTGTCATTCTTTGCATGTGATTGGCGAAAGAAGAATCGATGACAGAAAATAATCGCTGTAGCTATTGTAACCTGGGGACTGAATGGCAAACTATATCAGCCACTTTCAGTGAGAACAAAATAAAACACTGAACAGAGCAAAAAGCATGAGCACAAGAAGTAAAATTCAGGCAGTGCGGCAACAATCTCTTCCGTTTTCACTAATAATAACTACATGTTCCTTGTATGCATGGTAATAAAATAAAACACTACTTTTACAATGGTGCTAGCCTAAAACTAATGTTAGAACATACGTAAGCCAAAAAAATATCAGCAACGCATAAATTCCAATTATACTAAAAAATTATGCCTACAATCTGGATAATATGTTGGAAGAATTATGAATTCAAGATAGATCAAGCAAGTAAAAGTAAAAAAGGAATATGAGATGAGGCGAGAAAAAGGAACTTACACTTTCAATCTCATTCCCAAGTCCTGGAGAAATGTACAGTAGGATTTGCGGAGGTAAGTTTCCTTCTTTAAGTCAATACCATCCAACCTCGAGGGTGAATTTTCTTCTATTTCTTTCCTTCCAAAGTACCAGCGGGAAACCTCGTCTTGCTTTTCATGAGAATTCCTTGAGTGAGATGAAACTCCACTCTCACCGTACGAGCATTCCCCAGCTAGTACTCCAGCCATTATTGTATCTTCTTAAAAATATCCCAACCTAGCAAAAGCAGATCATAAACAACAAGGCGAGGAATGATACTAGATAGCTAGCTATGATTTTTTATAGTTGCACACTAAAAGATGTATCAAGACTAGGAATCAACTTAAAAGAGAGCAAAGAAAGCAGATTTTTCAAACGGATACACAGGAGTGACACGAGATATGGTGCATATTACATAATAGTCTAAGACGAGACTCAAAAGGGGTTCATCTTCAAATTAGGGACGATGAACCTCACACATCGGACAACTTGATTAAGCAAATCTTGTCGCCAATTAGATACATTCGTGACAAATGAAAAACTGGGGCACGAAATTATCTTTGAATAATCTTATAAACAATTTTAAACTGTAAAGAAGAGGGTGGTCAAACAGAAACTGACTTTGTGAATAGGACATACCCACATAGACTAAGACGAGACTCTTCAGGCTATGAACATGAACTATAAAAATAAAAATAAAACATTTGCAAATTGCAAATCAAATGGACAGATTGGGCACATCTCATCGCCAATTAGATACATTCGAGTATAAATTTCGAAACTTATGGCTCAAAACCACGAAACCATACAGAGAGATTAGCAACGAAAGATCAGATCTAAAGGGTTTTTAGAAAAATCAATCGAAAGGGTCGAAATTTCGTTGAAAATTCACTAGACGGTGGGAAGAAGAAACCCAGATCGAGAGAAGAAGAAAATTCAAACGAAAATTCAATACAGTAATCGAATGAAGGAAGGAAAGAGATGATAATTACACTTACCTAACCTGCGATGATGATCACTTCTCGAATTGCAGGAATAAAAGGATAACTCGTGAATTAAACAAACGCTAACTCTAGAAGTCGCGAGAAGCGAAAGTAATATAAGAGTGAATTCAAGAGAGTCTGATTTTAAGACCAAACAACAGCTGCGAGACAGATCCACTCTTTCCTTCTTTCATTTAAGGAGAAAGTAATACTGTAATTGTTTTTTTTTTTCTTCAATTGTATTTTGGGTTGCTAATCGTTTTTCGGCCCATTTCAAAAATGAAAAGCCTATACATAATGATGGACAAAAGCCCTAACTCATTAGCATAGCGTGTAAAATATTTAACTGGTTCATTAAACCATTTCATCTTTTCGAATATGAAATGACCTAACAATATTGACATATTGAGTTATCATGATTGCATAAAAACAAACATGTCGAGTTAGTGAATAAATTGAAGAAAGACACATGTCGAGTTAGTCAACCTCATTAACAGTGAGTGAGTTCGTCAATAGATTGATAATTTGATGAATGTATTCGAGTTATTAAGACAGTCGCCAAGCTACCAAATGCTTGCTTTGCCCTTTCTTCGTCTTTAGCCTTACTCTTTGGACTTGCACATTTCACACACTCACAGCCCATTTTGGCTTAGTATCAAATGGACTAATTAATTATTATTTTAAGCTCTTAAATATTCATTTTTTGGGTGAGCTGTCTCCACATGCTATTTAAACTATATGGTTGACCGCAATTTGCAGATACAAACACTTTATAAATCAATAAAGAATGCAGGGAAGAACACCATGATGCAGAGATCAATACTGAGGTTGGAAGCTCCTTTGATGGTTATCTCTGACCTCAACAACGGCAAAGAGGTGGTTTATGATTACAGTGAAAAATCAGAAGAGTCCACAATTTTAAGTATAAACATCAATCTAGAAATTTTTTTGGCTGCGTCGTTTAAGGGTCATATTTTTGCGTTGCATCAATCGGTTCTTGTGAAAAGGTTGTTATTTGAAGATGAAGGAAGTGCTGATAGATTTATCTCTCGTAACCTTAAGTATTCTATAGTTTCAGGGCATGGAGCTTTGCACCTTCGTCTTTTGGGTTAGTAAAAAAAAAGCCTAATATGAAGATAAGACCTCCAAAAGCAGTTAGAGATCAGAGAAAAAGAGAGGTTCCTTCTGAAGTTACAAGTACAGAAGTTAATACAAGAGATGTGAAACAATTCATAGAAAGTAAGAAGAGGAAGTGCTTAGGGGAAGAAGGTGAAAAAGTCCAACAAACAAGGTTGTGTGCCTAAAGGTGGTCCCACAAGAGGGACTGCCCAAAGCCCAATGAGTTTCATGAGCTGGAATTGTCAAGACTTGGAGCGGTCTCAAGGTTTGACAATTCAAAGACTGCGAGAAATGCATTAATACCACTTCTCGTAGATTTTATTTTTAATGGAAACAAAAAAAATGTTGGAATGTAGTTTAGATCTACAAGTTTGGTTGGGTTATGAGCGGGTATAAACTGTCAATCCAATTGGATATAGTGGTAGGTTGGCTATTTTGTGGAAGAAAAATATAAAAATTTGCATCAAGAGTTTGAACAAGCATATTGTAGACTGTTATGTTCAATTTGGAGACGTTATTTTTTTATTTAACTTGTGTGTAAGGAGAACCAGCCACAGATGGAAGAAGTGTGGTTTGAGAGAGATTGAGCACTTTGGGTATTGGAGATCAGAACCATGGAGCATTGTTGGAGATTTCAATGAAATTTTAAACAATGAGAAAAAAAAAACAAGGGTCCTTTAAACACTTTGCTGATATATTATCATCGTGTGGTATGGAAGAACTTAACAGCAAAAGAGATATGCTTACATGAGGGGGGAGGGGAGGGGGGTATGCGTTGGAAAAAATGGATTCAATGCTTTCTTAATAGATGTTTTAGAAACAAAGCTTGGCGAGACACATTTCCGGGATCCAACCAAACTTTCTTGGAGAAGAGAGGTTCAGATCACAGATCAGTATGGGCTAACCTACGGAAATCCAGAGATACATAGAGGCCAATTTAGATTTGACAGACGTTTGTTACATCTGCCGGATGTAAAAACAGAAGTGGAATGCGCATGGAAAAGTATCAAGTGTAATGGTTTAGTGGCGTTTATAATCTGTAAATGCAGAGGAATTATGAGTGCTTGGAATCGTAAGAGGAGATTCAGTGCCAAGAACAAGATAACTAAATTTCAGGAAAGATTGGACTGGTTTCAATCTAAGTCGTACCCATGCTGATTTGTTATTATAGATTAAAAAAGAGTTGATGCAACCGTACAAGGAAGAAGAAGTGTTCTAAGAGACAAAAAGCAGAGAAAAGTGGCTTAATTAAACTAGGGGACAGAAATTCTAAATTCTTTCATCTCTTAGTGAAGACAAACAAAGCTAGAACACACCTGATCAAACTCAAAGATAGGAATGGGCATGATCAGTGGTCAGATGCAGCAAAAGCAGAGGTAGCGGTGGAGTTTTTTTACTGAGCTTTTCAAAGCCTTCATCGTATGAGCCTGTGTTTCAGAGCATGATACCAAAAGTTATTCCAACCATGAACAGATGTCTGACGACTAAGGTTACCAAAGAAGAAGTAAAAGAAGCTATCTTCTCCATCAAGATAGATAGTGCACCAGGACCCGACGGTATGAATGGAAGTTTATTTCAGAAAATTTGTCCCAGCATTGTAGGGGAGGTAACAAAAGAGATTCATGAAATGTTTGAGAAGGGAAGATTGACGGACGACTGGAATTTTACGTACCTAGGCTTGTTACCCATAATCCCTAATCCCGAGAACATGAGAGACTTAAAACCCATAAGTTTGTGTTCTGTCTTGTACAAGCCAATGTTGAAAATCTTGGTGAGGTGCTTGCAACCATTCCTCAGTCAGCTCATGTTTGTTAATCAATCAGCATTTGTGACTAAAAGGTTGATACATGTCAATATTATCATTGCTCATGAGGCGGTGCATGCTCTCAAAACTCACTTTTTCATAACGACGAAATGTATGGCGATTAAAACTGATATGTGAAAGGTTTACAATGGAATTGGAGATACTTGAAAGACTTGATGAAGGCGCTAGGATTTGATGAGCAGTAGGTAACATGGATTATGATGTGTGACCTCAGTATCCTTTACAGTGTTAATCAATGGTCAGCCAATTGGTCTTATCCCACCGAGTAGAGGGATCAGACAAGGTGACCCCATGTCACCTTTACTTGTTGCGCTTTGTACGTAGGTTTCGTCCCATATGTTAAATGTAGCGGAAAGAAATGATTCCTGGAAAGGAATGAGTTTTGCAGAATCGGGACCCTCCATCCATCATCTTTCTTCGCTCATGACAACTTATTTCTTTGCCAATCAACAATATCTCAATGTAAGAACCTAAAGAGAATCTTGATTTTCTTTGAAAAAGCTACAAGATAGTGCATCAATTACCAGAATCCTCTATTTCATTTGGTGAGTTGATCCTTGAGATTGAACAAAGTGAATTTTCAAGCATTCTGGGAATTTACGATGAAGGAGGAACAAGCAAATACTTAGGACTCCCAAAGTGTTTTTTCAAGATCCAAGGTTAAATTGTTCTCATTTTTGAAAGATAGAATATTTTTTTACATCAAGAAACACTTTAACACTTTTCAATTATACTCAATGGTACAATGCACTTATGAGACACTTTCAAGGAGGACCTAGGGTGAGAATAAATGAATTTGCCCTTGATGAATAAAAAACGAAATTGGTTAGAGGAAAGAGAAAATGTATTTCTAAAAATTAATATTTTTCTTTTATTTAGTCTACCTCTTACTATTTTTTTTTGTTATCTTTAAATTAAAGACATGTATAATAAACTTTTGATATAATAAATTATTTTTTTTATTCTCTATAATTTGATATCCATTTTATGTATTATTGTTATATTTTAAAAACTATACATGTACCTACATATTTTTTTATGGATGAGTTACTACAATAAAGAGAGCTTTATACTGACGCTCAAGTTTTTTTCGGAAGATTGTCCGAAGAACTTATCTCTGAGATTTTTCCGAGAAATGTCAATATATCGGAGTTTGGGTCTCAGAAATAACAGGTCATCGGCACCTTGTCCAACATTACCGAGAAAACGCGTTCTCGGAAAATTCATCGCTAATACTTCTCGGTAGTTACCACTTCGTTCTAAGAAATTATAAAAAAATAATTAAAAAATAGATGCAAAAATAATGAAATAGTATAACTGAATTAAAAAATAATATAAAATCTGAAACAATATTTACATAAAAAAAGAAATAAAAGTAAAATTAAAGCTAAATTTACAATGGCCGTGAAAGAATCTACTGGCTTGGTGGCGGTGATGGATAAACTAACCTCGATGGTGGCCACCAAAGAAACAGCGACGGTGATAAAAGAAACAATGGCGGCGACGGTGGCATAATAGAAGAAACGGCGAATGCCATATCCGTGGAAGAAGCAGCGGCTGTGGTGGCTGTGGAGAAACAACAAGGATAGTGAAGAAATAGAGAAAGTGGTGGCCAAGGAAGAAAGATTGTATTAGCGAACGTGGAGGTTTAGCAACATCAGTTGTTTTTTTTTACAAAAGAAAAAAGCAGATTTAAAAAATAAATTATGTAAATCTAAAAAATGAGATAGTAAGAACATAATAAAAGCAAAAGACGGGAAGAAAAAGAATGAGAGAGAAGAAAAGAGAAGTTAAGAATTAGATGGATCGATCTTAAAAAGTTAATGAAAGAAGATTGCAGAAGAAAAGAAGAAAAGTAAAAGGCTAATGAAGGAAATTTCCAACGGCCTCTTATCCCCTTTCTTTTGAAAGGTTCTGCACTCCAACGGTCCATTATCCCCTCAACATACTATTTACTATTTATTTTATTTCTTCTATTTACGTGTGTTTAATGATTATATACTTATTATATGCCATGCTGCATTTTAATATCATAACTATATTAGCACTTAAATATTATAGTTATAATCTTATAAAGTTAACTTTAAATAATAATAGTAAGTTAAAATATTGCACATTAAAATAATAAACGAAAATATTACACATTAAAATAAACTGAAATATTACACATAAGCTGAAATATTACATATTACAATATATATAATTCAGATAAATTTGGTCT